AAGAAAATATCGCCAGTAAAGAGACTCTGATGCAATCTTCTCTTGATGCTGATCATCTATGATTGATGCTGCAATAGCCATCAAACAATAAAAGTCACTGAGGTTAGGACCTTTTTAAGCACACACAACAAATAAGATTTTGTAGGAGTACCACAGTTGTTATGCAAGGTTAAGCTGATTTGGACTTAAACTAACATTCAGTTGCTAAAATGTTGTAGAATTCCCTATTTTTAACAGTTGTTCTTAGAGGTTTCTGGGGACCTGAAAGATGGGGCCATACAATTATGGGCCAAGGTCTTACAGGTTATGGGGGCCCAAGAACTACTCTTCAGGGCTTGGGGAAATAGAACCAGAGTGCATAGAGGAAAGTGTGGAATTAATAATAATACAAGCAAATGTAACTAACAATACAAATGTATCAAGAACAAAAATTAACAACAAAATGATTGTTAGAGAACCTAACAAAACAAAACAAAATAACCCTGATGCACTGGGGACCAAAGTCTTTTGGACACAAGGGGTGATTGATAAGTTGGATGGAGATGGGGGAAGTAGAGAGAGGAAAAGACATTTACCCTGTCTAGTGTAGTATCCCCTCTCTCTCTGGACCCAGTGCTAACACAGGACACCACCAGAGACAGACACAGAACATGCATCACAGAACACTGAACACAGACTTTGTTATGACACTATAACCATGGAATTTTATAACTTTTCAGCTGGTACCAGCTCTTCTGATGTTTCGGTTCAGAGCCTGAAAGATAGAAGCTTGGAAACAAATTAGCACAGTGCTTTTACCCTGGCAGAACCTGCTTAGTCTCTGCCACAGTGTGTTTGGTACTTGGGGCTGCACAAATGCTAATTAAGTGGTGCATTTCTCCTGAGTGTAAATCCTCCCTTTTTCTCAGTAAAAGAGCGTTAACACTCCATCTAGAAAAAAATTTCTGTTTTAAAATCTCCAGCCATTTTGCCATGGCCTGGAGATCTTAGGCAGAAGCAGGCACTGTTGTTAACTATTTTAATGGCATTTTGGCCCTGGAAGGAGGAATTTACCCAAATATTCCCCTTCCCAATTTCCAGAGGGGTCCCAAAGGTCTGCCCTCTTCTGGGGTCTTAAATGTTTCTTCTCCTGATGTTACTGCTGCTGTAAGATTTGAGAGTGCTGTTTTAACTCTCTGTACCCAACCTGTTTTTCAGTTTCTTTATCTATTACTTGCCTGGGCCCGATCCTGCTTTTTTTAATAAACAGTTTCTTTCCATGGGCACAAGCGTTGTTCCACTACCAATTTAGCAAGGAGGGTGGGCTTTTTAACTAGCCCCCACCCTTCCTGGTTTCGTTTCTTAAACATTTTCTTTAAAATTGTGAAATTACCACAATATTACTTACAAAAAAACCCAAACCAAAACAAACAAACATAAACCACACTACACTGCCCAAACTTCTATATCCTTCAAAGTAAGTGTAAGTGTAATATATTATACGCATATGATACAGTGTTAATGAATACATGTATTACTAATAAATGTGGCATTTTGTCTTATTCCCCCTAAAAAGATCCTGTGCAGTACTTTAAGTACAACAATTGCCGCCTTTATTCAGGTGTAATCCATGCCACGTCCGTAGACAGGCCCCGATATACGGTTTGGGCGGTTCCGGTCAGATACGGGGCCAAAATGTAGCCCACTGGTCTTTGGCCCAGCCTGCGACTAATGCCACCCTTTCAAAAGTTACCAGAAAAGCTTGTGGGTCGTCGTTGGGGCCCATCTTTGTCAACCGGATGGGAGGGGCCAGGCTGGGAGGTCCAGTGGCATCCGCAGGCTGGGGCTCCGCAGGACGGGGCAGCAAGGTCACCAACTGCTGCAGGCATTGATGCTGGTGGTCTCGGTTCTGGCGTCCCAGCTCCAAAATCAGCTGTTGCTGTTGGGTCCCGAGCTGCTGGACCAGCTGCTGCTGCTGCTGGAGCTGGGCGGCCTGCTGCTGTTGTTGGCTTTCCGCTAAAAACTTAATAAGCTTGACCATATCCATGGTTGCTCGGGCACGCTCCACTGCAGATCCCTTCTCACAAGGATCGGGGGATTGCTGCCCACAATCTCCACCACGTGTAGGGTGGTTCAGCCGGGGCTTGTCCCTCTCCAGGGCGGTGGGGAGCCAGACCGCCTCGCTACTGTAAGCAGAGTCAGGATGAGCTCTACCCTGACATCTGGTGGTGAATTGTGGCGAGTTGTGGAAAAGAACTTCAGGGGCTGATCTTGTTTGCATGGGCACAGCCACCCCACCTAGCATGAACACACAGCAGCCCAAATGATCACTTTGGCTGCTGTGGGATCCCCAGTTTCTCTGTTATTGGGGCAGGAAGAATAAAGTGTTGTTACCCTGATTATGTGAATCAAGGACCATGAAAGTGTTTTATGGCAGAGGGACTCGCCATCAACTAAGTAGCACTCCCTAGACAAGGGACATGGGTTCCAAAACCTAGTGAATTGAGAGAGTCTGGGGACAGGTATTTGTATGTGATGGTATGGGCCCCCTTTTGAGGACCTGAAATACCAAGTGCACCACCTTCTCTCTCTACTGTGGAATATCACTGGGAGTCTAGTTACAGACTGCTGAGCTGAATTCACCTTGGGCCAATGGTGTACTAGTACTGAGGCTCCCCTACTATAAGTTGAATTCACTAAGAGCTGAAATTACTGAGTGTTGTGGGGGGTCCTGAAGCTATATTGCTGAGCAGTTTGAGGAGTGGAGCAGTTTGCGGGATGACTGGAGTGGCTCAAGGGACAGGTGGTGGAGCAGATCAGTTCATGGAACGGCTGGAGCAGCTCGCAGGATGGCTGGTGGAGCGGAGCGGCTGGTGGAGTGGCTTGTGGTAAAGGCTTCAGGAGAAACCCATGGAGAGACGGGGCAATCGGCCTTGGATGACGTAAGGTGCCCCTTAACACCGCTGTACCCCCCGCTCCCGCGGGCTGGGAGGTAAAACTCTGCAGATAAACTTTTGAACTCTGGGGCTGCACTGACCAGGGACAGAGACTTTTGGGTTGTTGGAATTTTGGGTGATCTTTTGGGTTGCTGGACTTAAGACCCTGAGGGGAAAAGGACACTGCCAAAGTTACTTGGGGGTGGGTCTTTTGCTCATGGTTTGTGTTAGGAATCTTGTTTCTGGTGTTTCCCCAACATAATGCCGCATTGTTTCCCTCCTTCATTAAAAGGATTTTGCTACACTCAGACTCCGTGCTTGCGAGAGGGGAAGTATTGCCTTTTAGACGCGCCCGGGGGGTGGTAGGTAATTGTCCCACTGGGTGGGGGCTCGAGCCGCTGTTGCATTGTGTTATTGAAATGGAACCCCTAATTACTGAACTCGGCCCTTGTTGCTGCCAACTCAGACGGGCAGAAGGGTTACACTACTTTGGTCAGTTGTGTCAGGGAACTAGCTTGGCTGGGCGGCAAACAGTCAGCAGCTCTGGCCCTCTGGCGGGGGCTGAGCAAACAGGTTAAATATTAGCAGGCCCAGACCCTGGGTAAGGGCGGGGCAACAAACAGTCAGTAGCTCAGGCCCTCAGGCAGGGGCTGACCAAACAGTTGAACAGCAAACCAGAGGCTCCTGGGGAGAGGGGGAGACTGCCACCTGCCAGGTGGGTAGCAAGGGGGTGGAGGCCCACCCAGTCTACTGTGTCCGAGCTCGGGGCCCTAGCAGCAGCAGAAGACCCGCTGCTGTGTCAGTGGGGATCCTGACCGCAGCACACTGACATAGGCTCTTGCAGTGTTGCAGCCAGACTAGGGTCAGCTGCCCCCGGGCTACTTCCTACCTCCCGCTCTAGAGGTATCTGGGTCTGGACGGTGTCCTCCATGGGGTCACACACCAAGGGTGGTAGCTGGGAGCGGTTGGTTTGGCAGCTCCTCCGAGTAACTGGCAAACGGCAGGCCTGGCAGTTCCTCAGGGTAATGGGCGAGCGGTAGGCTTGGCAGCGTCTCTGGGCTCGGGCTAGCATCAGGCATTGGCTGGTCTGGCCAGTCCTCGTTTCATCTGCCGATCGCCGTGGTCTCCCCACTGGGAGCTACGCCACAGGCATCCGGTCTCTCCGGTGGCTGAGTTTCAAGTGAACTCTGGGGTCCGGCTTTTATACTTCCTGTCCTGCGCCTTCACCTCTGAGGGGTGGGCGCAGGGTTTGCTGGCTCTGCGCACTTTGGTGTCCAGAGAGGCTCGTCCCCCTCCGGGGCGTTGGGAGACAGACTGCCTCGCTACAGGATAATATGAATGTTTAGTTTGAAGCCTTTTTCCAATTTTTATTACTTACAACTTTCAGGAAATTGTGGGGCAGGGTCGGACAATTATTTAAGGACAGTTTAGTCTGAAAAAGATAATGTTTTGTGTACTTTGCCCATCTGTAAATTTCAATTATTATGGCTGGAAATATTTTTGCCAGGCTCTGCGTGTGCGGTGAAATCGATGTTTAGTGACCATCACTGATGTATTTTAATCCTTCCAAGCCTAATATCACTGTAAGAGATTTACACAGGTATCTGGGGGTAGCAACAGAGGAGGGGAATTTCTGCTGGGTGGGACTGAGGGGAACTGTTAGAGCTGTGTTGGGAGCCCAGAGATGGGATAGCAGGGTGCAAGGTGTTGGGATTGAGAGGCACCGTCAGAGCCGGGACACCTCCCATGGCTGGGATAGGGAAGGATTGGGATGGATGTGACTTGGAGATGTGTTGGGGGGATCCCAGGACTGCTTTAGCAGGCTTCTGTTGGTCAACATTATGGGGCACCAGAAGAGCTGTGTGGGGAATCCAGGGCAGGGATAGCAGTTGGCTGTAGATCGGGATAGAACATCATTAATAGAGCTGTGGAGAGTGGGTGGATCTTAGCACTGGGATAGCATTGGGCTGTGGTTCAGGAGTGAGTAAGGACATAAGAAGATAAGAACAGCCATACTGGGTCAGACCAAAGGTCCAACTAGCACAGAATCCTGTCCTCCAGCAGAGGCCTTCACAACATCCCCTGGATGGGCACTTGTAGGTGGATTTGGAAGTGATTCACTATAGGATAGTGTCATTCTGAATTAGTGTGTTATGTGTATCATTTTTGCCCTCTGTACCACTTCAGAACAGAGTGCCCTTGGCGATTTTATCAATGAAGCTGTTTATTGACGGGGCAGGCAATTGATGGTATGTTTCGAAGCAGTTTTCTATGGCATAGCGTTATTCTCAGTTTGTTGTATTATGTGAATCATTTTGGTCCCCTGTGCCTGTTTGGAACCGAGCGTTCTGTGCCGTTCTATCAACAAAGGTGCTTATTGCCCAGAACGGGAACTTGAAGTTGGGTTTGGAAGCGATTTTCCATGGCATAGTGTTATTCTATGTTGATTGTCTTATGTGGATGCTTTTTGTCCCCAGTACGTCTTTGGAACCGATTGTTCTGGGTCCTTATTGGTGTTAATAATGGTTCTGGTCCAGAATGGGTTAATCATAGACTTATAGAAATGTGGGGCTGGAACGAACCCCCAAAAGTCATCCAGTCCAGCAGCTCCCTGCACTGAGGCACGGCCTAGTAAACCTAGACATTCCCAGCCAAGGGTTTGTCCAACCTAGCCTTAACCATCCCCATAGCGCAGCCTCTCCAGCGTGGGGAAGAGGGACGGGAAAGACAGTGGCATGGAGGGAGGGAGCAGCCCACATATTTTGTCACTGTCTGTGTTCATCTTCCCTGGGGTGAAGACATCTCACTGAGATGCTAATGCCAGCGCACACCTGTCTGAGCCTGCTACACTTTCCACATGCTCCCGTGCTGAGGAGTTGTGCCTAGCGGAGATGTGGCTGCTGGATAATTCCATACAGTGGGATAGCGGAGCACTGTAGTGGCCCTGGAGAGGGTGGAGAATTGGACTCAGTGGCCCTGTGATCTGTCCTTTCCTTGGCCATGCTTCTGCTGGCTGATGCTGGGTCAATCATGTCCCCTTTCTGTGCGGTAATGCAGCAGGCCGGGCTCATCGGGTGGTTCGCTTGGGAGAAGGAAAGCTTGAATTTCAAATAAGAAGGTCAGGCCTGGTGGCTAGTTTGCAAGAGTTATGTCAATCCCACATGCTCTAGGGGTCTGCACGACCAGCTCCAGCTTCCAGTGTACGGGGAGACTTTGGCAAACCAGTACAGTGTTTAAAACCACTATGGCTTATTGTTAAAATGCAACTTAGTCAGCAAGCTGTAAATTGGCCAGTCAACAAACTCAGCTTGACCAAGGCAGGAGGGGGTTTTGGGGTGCCACAGAAGGGGCAGCTTGACCCTGAGTCCCTCCTGATAAGAATTGTGTTGAAGTTGCTGATACATGCATTTTAAAGGAGCAGGAATGTCTATTGGGGTCACAGAGCTGCAGACTCTGGAAAAAACCACACCTAGTTAATCAATAATCAAAAGGAACCTCTTGCTTGAAACTGTTTACTTAACAAGTTTTCTTTAAGGGACATGTCATTGTATTACTAATGTATAAATAAGGGGGGAAAGCTTGAGATAGGCGGGACTGTTCGGGACTGGTCTCTCCCTCTGGATGCATCTTGTGTTCCCCAGCGGCAGACGGGCTGCCACTGTGCCACTTGAAAGCCACACTCAGGTTTGGTAATTATCAAGGGTTGGGGGTGTTTTACTAATCTTGTTGCGGAGGTGTGTAAGAGCTTGAGAGTAGTAAAGTTTACCTTTTAGTGAAAGCACTCTTGTGTTGTCCTGTTTGGCCAGCCATCTATCGGTCGGACAGCCGTGTCTCCCCTGATTTATTTCCTGACACGTCCTCACACAGAGTAAAGTTACCAAGAGCTTTGAGTTGAAAGAACCCCGGGTAACAGAATTTGGAGACCCCAGCGAGGAGTGGTGGAGAGGAAGGAGACGGATGGTACAAACAGTTTGTAGTTTGTCCATTGCAGTAGGAGATAAAAGACGGCGGGGTGGGGTCGCTCCCTACAAGTTCCCGTGTCGCAGTTTGTGAGTTGAAATACGGATACATTCCATTACTGGGACTCAAAACTGAGGCCGATTGCCTGCTTGAGTGGAGAAATTATGTCCAGAGACAGGGAACCAACTCCAGGACACAGCCCCAAAGATCAGAGCTGCCAGACCGTAATACTCTGCCAATGACACTGTGCAGAAACTGGAGTCCCCCAGATGGACCTGATTCTGACTGGCCATCAGGAAAAGTTCCTCTGTCTTATTGGGCGTGGTGAGCAGTGTATGTGTAGCATGTGCAGTCTGTTTTTGGTGATGGTTAAGAAATAGAAGTTATGTAGGATATTACTGTGTAAGGCTCTGACTCTGGTAAAAGACCCTGTAAACCTGCAAAAAAAAAAATTGTGCCCTGAGTCCAAAGGGAAAGGAGTGTTTGCCCTGAGTCCACAGAGAATTGGTAGAGCCCGGAGCCCATGGAGGAGTAGAGCCTGGAGCCCACGGAGGGGTAAAGTTAAATTCTTTTTGCCTGGAGCCCTAGGAACTTGGAAAAGGTGGGTGCCCTATTGTGTGCAGGTAACAGATCTGAACTGATAGAGTCTAACTCAGTAAACAATAGCAAAGAACGTGTGCTTTGTGTCAGAAAGGGTCGCTACCTATCTGGCAGAATGACCACCCCAGAGCAACAAGAGAGAAAGGGAACAAAGAAAAGGGAGCAGGAGGGGTGGGGGCTAGTTGAGCCCACCCTCCTTGCTAAATGGTTAGTGGGACAAAGCCTGTGCCCATGGGAAGGGGCAGTTCAGCGAGGAAAACAGGATCAGGCCCAGACAAGCAGGCAGGCAACAGATAGAAATTGGAAAACAGGTTGGGAGCCCTGAGGGGCATAGGTGCAGGAGTAAGGAGAAGAGTAAGTACAGGCATGGGGAATTCAGATGCTGGGACAGTACTTGGAATGGTGAAATCTGAGTTGATGAAGAACGTAAGGAGTTTCTATTGGAACTTACCTGACCCCAAATGTATAGCAATGTAATCTATGTACAGCTGTGTAAAAATTAAAGCGGTGTAAGGGATTTTAAGCAGAAGAGTATGCTTGTATCTCTCTGTGTGTGTATAGATAAATTGTGTAAGTGTGTGGAATGTTTGTAGGCGAACACTCCTGACTTGTAAAATTCCGTTTTGTAGATTTAAGATAAATTGGTTTTTGTTTTGTTTTGGTTTTAAATAACACCACTAAAAAGCCATCTGAGTCTTTCATTCGAAGGAGCAAAACTGAGAAACACTTTTTGCCAGACACAGGTAACAAGTGGTGTTTGGCTTTGGTGTTTAGCGTTTAACCCTTAAGGTACCCTAATGCTTTCTAAAGTTCAATATCTTTTTAAAGGCCAAAGTCCTGGCTGCAGCAGGGCAGTTAAACCCGGAGAAGGGGGAGAAATTCTGGATCCTTTTTTTGTGGTAATAAAATAGCAGATAAGAGCCGTAGTAAAAGAATAAAAGATTAAAAAAAGACAGTGCCCCTCTGGTGCAACAGCAGGGGTGAGGTGCACAAAAGAGAAGCAACATTAGAAACACTAGAGAGTCCTGTGGCACCTTTAAGACTAACAGATGTATTGGAGCATAGGCTTTCGTGGGTGAATGCCCACTTCATCGAAGCCTTATGCTCCAATACATCTGTTAGTCTTAAAGGTGCCACAGGACTCTCTGTTGCTTTTTACAGATCCCGACTAACACGGCTACCCCTCTGATATTAGAAACACTGAGCCTTAAGGTGGCTCTGAGTAATCAGACTGTCACTTTGATGAAACTTTTGTGTTCACACAGAGCTAACAGTTACACCTTTTGTACAAATTGATATGGCTAATCGAGTGTTATAAAAGTTAAACTATGAAAGGAAAGTGCACGTTTCCCAGGACATGTGCAGTGTATATTGTAGAAGGGGTAAAAGAAATGCCAACAAAGCATGCTACTTATCTAAAATCCTGTTAGGGCTCTAAAGGGAGCCACAATAGGTTGTGTTTTCTTTTTCAGAGTTCTGTATGTTTTGGAAACAGGAGAAAGCAAAACTCGGGTGGAAGTCGATTGTGTCCTTTTTAAGTCAGGGTCTCTGAAGTGCTGATGGCTTTGGATCCAAAAGGAAGCCAGAAAGCCTCTGTGAAAATGCCAGTTACCTTACTGATGGAGGAAGGTGGAAAAAGAAGTCAAACCTAAAAATGAGAGAGGGACAAGTTAACCCTAAGTAGGAAAAACATTCTTTTTGTGTGTGTATGCAGTGCTCAAATCTGAAGCTTTTAATAGATTTGATGCTAATGTTAAACATTGGGATACATTTAACGTTAATAAGTACCCGTGTAACAATGTATAGTGTGTATGATTTTTTGAAAAATCTTTAAGGTTATATGGTAATGATGCTTCTCAGCTATTACCTGTGAATAAACTTAAAGCTTAGCCCAGCAGGAAAAACATTACAAACTTGGTCTGCTGTATAAGAAGGAAAACTGAGGTCCACCACCTCATAAGTTTCATAACTAAACAGTGGGATAATTTCCCCATAACCCTTAAAAGATAGGAGGCATTGAAACCTGTCCTGTCCCGTAGAACAAAAACACAGGAAAGTATGAGGGTAATTCCTCTGGTTTTGCCTGTAATCAGCAGGGATATTTGTAAAAGGAAGGGATATTTTAAGCAATAATCTGCCACCCCAAAACATGTTCTTTTGTCTTTCAGAAAATCAGGAAAAACTGATACCAGCTGAAGAGCCTCCCAGAATACCATAGCTCTATTGTCATGACGAAACTTGTGTTTTGTGTTTTATGTTTTGCATTTTGTCTTGTGTTGTTTGTCTCGTTGCTAGCACTGCTTTGTATTGTGTTACAAAACAAGAAAATACTGCATTAGGCAGAAAAGGATGAGCAAGCATTTTAACTATATTTACAGAAACGCCAGTCTGTCAACAGGGAAACATCCTTAGGTGATAAAGGCACATTTAAAAGTAAAATATGCATGAGACACAAGATGTTTCTGTTGGTGGGAATAAAAGGATGGACATAAAAAGTTTTACAGTACAAAGTGAAATTACCAAGGGAAAAAAGGGTATGTAAAAACATTGGTTACTAAAAGAATAAGACTTGCCAGTTATTAGTTCTTAGTCAACTTCCAGCATGCAAGCCCAGCTGAATGCACCTGGGTGTTGTATGACATTGGATGTAAGAAAAGAAAGGCCCAGGGAAGGTATAGCTGCCCTAATACTATCTCCATGGGAACTGCTGAAGATTATTGGATTTTCCCTGGTAGCCAGGAGGGGTAGGTAGCCTAAAGAAAAGGCTCCCAATAAATGTATTGAACTGCTTTGGGTGGAACTGGATTAGAAGTTGGAGTGCTGGATGCTACTAACATTGAGGTATTGGTAAACAATTGAAGTTATGTTCTAAATGTTTCTGTCATATTATAGCAATTAGGGTACGTGACTTTGAATTTCATGTACCTGAATTTAAATATAGTCAGTTAAAAGTGTCTTATACTTTGTATTCTATTGTACTCCTGTTCCCCTTGGAATGGATCTAACTGCTTTACAAACATTGCTTGTACACCCAGTTACATACTGCAAAACAGGAAGGGCGCAGACTCATGGTTACAGTGCATCATAATGCCAATGAAATTAAATGGGTATTTGCAAGAATTGGCCAGGACCTGTCGCACCACTGGTGGGAAGTGTTATTGGCATGGTCCCCCACTGGCATAGGCATCCTGAATTTGGCCCTACACCCAGGGCCGGCTCAAGGTTTTTTGCTGCCCCAAGCAAAAAATTGTTTGGCTGTCCCCCACCCCAGCCCTGGGCTCTCCCCCGCAACTGCACCCTCCTGCCGCCCCAGCCCTGGGTGACTGGTAACTCGCTCCCAGGGCCGGTCATTCAGCAGGAATTTTCGATGTGCACAGAACACAGACAGGATTGGTTCCCATATGGTTACAGAACTGCAGTAAAGTGGAACAATTTTCAGCTTGTGTGATTGGAGGATATCTGGATGCATATTATAAGACTGTCCTACATAAATGAGGAAAAGTTGAGGTGCCTTTATTATTCTTTTGTTCCTTTCTGTGTTTCTATGGGAAATGCAATATCATTGTCTTCCATTTAAACAAATAAAACTAAAATTAAAAAAAGAAAAAAAAAGGCAATGGCTGTTGAAAATAGCAATTCCAGTCCTAGTAACCACTGGGAAGCATTTCTTGCTCAATTTATTCTCCTTTTTCTACAGCAAGTTACAGTGGATGAGTATATTAGATTTGGGAGAAATGAAGTAACAGCTGCCCAAATTGAGCTTGAGCACTCCTGAATTTTGAGGTGTTCAAATCTGGAAGGCAGGTGCTAGATTCCCTTTCTGAATATTAGCTAAATCTGGAAAAGAAAAGTCAATTTCTGCTTCCATGGCTCAGAGGTGGAAATCCTCCTACGTGCCTGGTATTGTATTTAAAGCTGCCCAGTCTAGCAGAGCCTCCCCTCCCTTACTGTTCATTTTAAATTCTAGTGGGATCCACATACCTCCCTTGCTAGGCTTCAGATAGAGAGGGGCACTGTCCATTTAGTTCACCCAATTCTTTCTTTGGGGGAGAGCCCAAGGCTGGGGTGGCAGGAGTTGCAGGTGGAGGGAGAGGCCAGGTCTGGGGCAGCAGGGGAGTGCAGGTGGGGGCCAGATCTGGGAAGGCAGGGTTCATGGGTGGGGGAGAGTCCAGGGCTTGGGCAACACAGGGGTGAGGGGGGAGCCAAGGGCTGGTGTGGGGGGCGGCAAAAAACCTAGAGCTGGCTCTGTCCCTACCATTCAGAGTAAGCTGCAGGTTTCAGTTCCATATTCCTTCCCCGTCCCTTTCCTGTTACTAGCGGCCGAGGGAATGCTGGGAAATGTAGTTCTTTACCTGCTCCAGGGCTGGCTCTATAGGCAGGGAGCTAACCAAGGAACTACAGATCCCAGGGCCCCCTGTTCGTTCTCAGCTCCCATGCTGGATTCTTGCACCCCTGCAAATGTGCTGCCCCAAGCAACTGCTTGCTTTGCTGGTGCCTTGAGCCGGCCCTGCCTACACCCCATCATAGTAATCTTGGGGTGCCAAATAGTAGTGGGTTTTGTTACCAGCCTAATGACATGCTGGACCTGGTGCAAAATCCGGCAATTGCAAGTCCCCCGACAGATGAGTCAGTGGTTACTGCCACTGGCACTCGTACCCCCGGGAAAGGAAGATATCGAACTTGTCGCCCCTCCCTTAAATGGGAAAGGAGGCTAAGGCGATCACTTGTCAATTGCTATGCTGGTGTGCTAAGTATGGGATGCCAACAAGAAGATAATTTGCTCGGTCTCGGCTGAGAGCCTTGAGCTTTCATTGGATCTCAACTCAGGTGCATCCAGAAAAGGTGTGACAGGGATTGTGTAATGGCCCCCTTGTGTGAGTGGTGGCCTTTAACAAGGGGAAACTGTACAGGGAGACTTTGGCAAACCGGTAAAGTGCCTAAAACCACTATGGCTTATTGTTAAAAAGCAATTTAATTGGCAAGCTGTAAATTGGCCAGTCAGCAAACTCAGCTTGACCAAGGCAGGAAGGGAGGGGGTTTTGGGGTGCCATAGAAGGGGCAGCTTGACCCCGCGTCCTTCCTGATAAGAATTGTGTTGAAGTTGCTGATACATGCATTTTAAAAGAGCAGGAATGTCTATTGGGGTCTCAGAGCTGCAGACTCTGGAAAAACCCACACCTGGTTAATCAATAATCAGAAGGAACCTCTTGCTTGAAACGGCTTACTTAACAAGTTTTCATTAAGGGACATGTCATTGTATTACTAATGTATAAATAAGGGGGAAAAGCTTGAGATAGGCGGGACTCTTCAGGACTGGTCTCTCCCTCTGGATGCATCTTGTGTTCCCCAGCAGCAGATGGGCTGCCAGTGTGGCTTTCGAGTGGCACAGTCAGCTTTGGTAATTATCGAGGGTTGGGTGTGTTTTACTAATCTTGTTGCGGACGTGTGTAAGTGCTTGAGACTAG